TGGATTGCTTTTTATACAGACAGTTTATGGCATCATCATCTAGCTTTCCTTTGGACACAACGATTTTTATCATACTGCGATTTCAGCGAAAGTGACTGCAAACAAGGATGTGAATCAATTAAGAATTGTAAGCCGATTGATTCTGATCGAAGTTTAATGGTTTGATGCTTGCCAAGAGACCTTATGATTCTGGGTTCGATTCCATATCGAGCTGTGAGTACGCACTGAACATTAGATGTAAAACAAAATAGCTCCCTTGTTCATCCTAGTTTTTAGATTGTATTTCAACTGATATCGGTTCAAGATGAAAACTGATTTCCCACCGAGCAGTATCAACAAACTTCTACCCTAATCATAAAATTATCGGCACTATTATAACCGTCATAATATGATCGTTTATCTAACTTCTAAACACAACTTCAGACTATTTTACAATAATCAATCACTCTCAAACTTCAGACCTACCTTTTATCAAACTATAAAACTCGAAAGTAAAGCTTTATGATATGGTGTATTTTGAATAACTGGAAAATTTGGAGACTAAGTTTAAAGTTTGTAACAGCATACAATTCAAATCAGGTAGAAAAATAATTATTTACAAACTGACGGTTAAACTAAGAGTACATTCTTCAAGGATTACGCTGGACGTTTAAATCCACGTAAAATAATGCTGATACACCATTGTTGAACCTTTACATAATTATTATTCAAGGAAACAGATTGAATTATTATGAAATTTATTATTTTGAATAAATAGATTTTCTACTTGCGTTCGACACGCAACAATCATCAGTAATCAATATCAACCATATCAACAAAGATCACTCTATATAAGTCTTTGCAATAAAAGCTAAGTGACATTTATTTAATGCTTATTTAGGCGTTAAAAATAAGTTTCTTGCATGTTTTTTATCACCCATATAACGTGTTAAGTTATGCATCAATAATCCTTCAGTGTTAAAACTAACCAGTTTTTGTTGGAGAAAGCATTATAATGACTCGTTTGTGCAATGAAAAAATGTACTATATCAGTTGAATGTTAAAACTTTTTATGATAACAAAACGTAACTTTTAATGTTTTAGTTGTTAGATTATTTGAAATCAGCTGTGTTACGATTTGATTGTTTAACTAGTTACCTACTGTCAGAACTCAAACTAATTAACTTAGACATAATGTTGACTTGTTTGATCGAGCATATATTCAATCGAATAGTTGACATACAAGAATGAAAAATATCATAAATCACACCGAATGTTAATGTTTATTTAATATATGAGTTCACCTAAGTACCAGTTAGCTTCGTTGAGACTTGCCTCTACTACAAGAAGTAGATATTTGATCATTTTAATTATGGAGTCACAGAAAATTTTATTGTTAAAATTTAAATGCTACATGTACTAGATTCGTTCAGTTTAGGCACATAAAATATTATAGAATTTCAAGAAAATAACTACCATCAATCTTTCAGCTGTAATATTAGCTGAAGTTATAAAAGTCAACTTATACGAGTATCGTTGTAACTACCACATGGGTTAGTTGGAAAACGCGCATAAAAAATAAATTTAGTAATTTCAATAGTTGAGATCCTGAAGCTAGACTACTGTGAAAAAACCTGAAAGCATTGGACGGCCGTTTCGTGGATTGGTTGAAGCTAAGCAATAATACCATTGGATGCCGGCTCAGTGGTCTAGTAGTTAAGCGCTTGCGCTCGAGACTGATAGGTCCTGGGTTCGAATCATGAGGGGCGGAGTCGTGGGTGCGCACTGCTGAGAAGTCCCACAATAGGACGAAATGGACGTCCAGTGCTTCCAGGTTTTCCATGGTGGTCTAGCTTCAATTGACTCATGATCTCCACTATTGAAATTACTACAATCTTCACAAAACTTCTGATACTAATAAATTTAATATTTACTTACATAATACACTGTCTCAAAAATCTGTACAGTAAATTTCAATGAGTATAATAAAATAAATTGATATAGAGTGAAGCTATTGTAAATATAACTCATACAAGTAATTAATAATTTTTTGCATACCTTATAGTGTGATCAGTGAGTTTCATTATGAAAAATATCATTATCACCAACTTAAGTGAACGTCCATTCAATAAGTGGATTTTAAATAGTATTCTAATCATGTTTATTTTTGTCTGATATTTTGTACATAAGCAAGTAAATGGATTAGATGAAATACAATTTTGTTGAATAGCTATTTTGTCTTCTGAATTCTATTCTATCTGAAGGCTTGGTTCGATAAATTGGTCTTATGAGCAGTTAGCACTTTATAGAATAGCATTATTACACATTATCGATCAATCAAATTTTTGTATCCCTTAATCTAATACTCTCCAAACGATTATTATAACAAATCTTAGAAATTTTATTCACAAGTCACTTGGGTAAAAGACTTGATAGCTCAACACATTATATCTTTCATGAGATTTTAGTGAGTACTGAATGAAAGATTTTGTGCTTATTGGTGCAGTTAAAGAAGTTTGCCATTAAACACCCTTTAATGACTAAATAGCCTATCCATTCCAGTTTTTGAATAAAAAAACGGAATCAGAATCGATCAGCAACATATTGAACGTTCGAGTGATCCAATTTAGAATTAAATACATACAACGCATTAGTTGAGATCTTTTCAACAACAGTCTTCAACCAACCAATGTCCATCTATCTAATGATAGTATTATGAAAGTAGTTCCCTACTTCTGATAATCATTTGTTAGTATTTAGCATTTAGTGCTATAAACACGCAATTAAAGTTTAATCTTCCATGGAGTATCGTGAATAAAGATGAGTTAAACAATTAGATTTATGAATATTTCTTGGTAATTTTTTTTAAAATTTTGCTATGTCTAAACCAGTATGACATTCTGTCGGGTCAGTTAATAAATTAATGACCCAAACAAGTAACCTTGGTTCTGGATGACAACCAGTTCTGTTACTGCAATACCTGTCTGTAATCATAGTTCCGTCGCTCACACACAAAGATATCTTAACGGTCTCAACGTATTTAATAAATGACTCTAAATTTAGCACAAGACTTTGCGTCATGGAAGTTAATATAAATTCTAGGGCATTTAAGATATCCGATAACTCAAACGGTAATGATTACTAATATTTTATATATTTTTTATCACCATAGAAATTTCTACTTTATTTCATTTTACCTTATTTGCCAAAAATTATCAAGTTATTTATCGATGATTCTGGCTATGTGATTCTAACACAACTCGCTTCTCTATAGATCATTGCGAAGGATCATAATTAATAAACACATCTGTAAAGTTTGTTAATGTTTTCATCGGTCAAACTAGATATCACACAGCTCAATGAACATTATTTATTGATAAATGAAATACAATCCATCATATCTGTACAGAACACTAATTAGAACATTAATTGTAGTAGTGTAGAAACTCGGTGACATTCGAACTTAGTGGTTATAAATAAATTTAATAATGTATGTTGATTCATTTGAAATCGTTATTAAAATAAACATTCAATATAAACAGTGCTTCGGAAATTATTGGTCACAATCATTCTTTAAATTAAAGATAATGAGTACGTGTTTATTAGTTTCTGTAAGCTCACAACAAGTTTTGTGTGTTAAATATAACTCGGTGCAACGTGTTATTAGTAAGGTCGATGTATTACGGGGCATTTTTCGTCAATATATATACTTACGCCTCGTCTAGGAGCATAGACCAACCAGCAGCACTCTTCATTCAACTCTGTCCTGGATAGTCCTTTTCACCTCTTTCCAGTTGTTATTCATCCTTTTCACATCTGCTTCTATTTCCTAACGTGATGTGTTCTTTGGCCTTTCTCTTTTCCATTTCCATTCAAGATTCAAAGTTAGCATTCGGTTCGTGATGTGGTTTGATGACTTCCTAAATGTATGTTCTATCCACTTCTGATGTCTTTTCCGAATTCCCTCTTGAGCTAGGAGCTGTTTCGTCCTCCCATAGTAGGCTATTGCTGATGGCATCCGGTCAACGGACATTGAGAATCTTGCGTAGACAATGGTTTATAAATAATTGAACTGTTTTGATGATGATTGTGGTAGTTCTCGAAGTTTTAATTCTGTACAGTAGAACTGTCTTGATGTTCATATTCAAGATTCTCATTTTGATATTGAATATATATATATCTTATAGTTGAATGGAACAGTGAAAATTTCGAACTTTTTGTGAATTACTTTTACTAACTTCAGATTACTTTTCATAATATAATATGTAGTAGTAAATGATCGTTAGGATCTAAGTGAACATATCATGTACAACAAGTATCACTTCACACCAAAGATTAGGAAAAGACTAACATACTTGAAAAAAATGCACATTCTTAATAAGCCACTGCAAATGTTGCATGTATTGCTTGTCAACATATGTATGTAATATTAATTGTATAAATAAAAAAAACAGCAAATATTGTATACCTTAATGTAATTTAACTGCAAAATGAACACAATCACTAACAGTGATCATTTATATTTAATACCTTATTCAATCTTCATTGAAAATAATAAGAAATTTAAGTGAATATAAACCATATTAACTTGATTCTTTACTCATTCTTAAGTTGAGAATAAAACTTTCATATTGTTTAATACTACTCATCAGTAAGCTGAGTTAGTATTCACATTGATTTTCATGAATTATTAGTTACTCGTCTTGTATAGAAACTATTCCTTAAAAAAAGCTGTATTAAAGTGAATAGAGACTAAACTTACATGCAAAATAATGAATAATTAACGACTTCTTATTAATTAACCTTCATATATGAATGAATATATATACAAATGAACATAAACATACAGAGAATATTCACACCATAAATATTTATATTTTCATAAGACGTTTATGTATAGATAATCAAAATTTAAAAAAAATAAAGTTACATAAGAGACAGAAAAAGAAAAATTATTACATGTTTTTAAACAGATTGAAAAACTGACAAATTAACTGCACACATACAAAGAAATAAGTTAACTATAATTGTGCATTGTTTATTGTTGTAGATGTGACTAAGGAATGATCTGCTGTTGTATTCTCAATTGTCGATTGTAATAATTCGGTAGTTTCATCTAAAAGTTTGACAAAAATGTACAAGATATATTTATTGGTCTAAACAGTTAAAGTGTATAATATTGACATAAATATTAAAATTTCAACCATGCTATAAATAGTGTTGCGGTTTGGGGCTTACTTACGCCTGTTGCTCCTCGTGAAGGAGCATAGGCCGCCTACCAGCACTCTCTATCCAACTCTGTCCTGAGCAAGGGGCTTATGTACCTATGCAAATATAACCTTCTATTCCCATAGTTTCAGAAATAGAACATTTAACCAGTAAATTACAGACATTTGGTTTGAATTACACTTAAATTTAAGCTATTGAATTTGTGTAAATAAAATAACTACGGACAAACCATTCCTATTTAAACATTAAGAACACGAAGTTTAGCAAAGTGATCTCTCTTCAACGAATTTATTATCAAGCTGTACAGTCATATATACTTATGTGAAAATTCTTTAAAGTATTAGTACCGTAAGAGCATATGAACAAAGAAGAAACAATATAATTATAACCTTTCTATTAGATTATCATGTTTATTCTATTTTCATGTCGTCACGGTACTAATACGAAAAGGAAATTTCACTTATGTATACACTATCGAACAGCTTTTTATATCAATAAATTCCGTATTGGACACCAAAATAAATAGATTTCTGATTAGATACTTACGTGTCTCTTCAGTTGTTACATTTTGCTCATTCTCAGTATGTTCAATAGTTTTAACTTCTTCAGATGAATTATGATTAATTTGTTTATCAGACATTGGTTCTTCATTTGAATTGATACATTCAGTCTGAAAAGTAAATCAACAAAAAATCAATACAAATTACTGTTCTCCCATAAAACAATAATCCATTTTAATAGTTGGATTCATCAGTTAATTAAAACTAGACCATCATGAAAAATCTGAAATCACTGGACGGTCGCTTCGTCCTAACATGGGACTCTTTAGCATTGCTCATCCACAATCGCGCACTACCTAGGAGTTCCATATTAGAACGAAACGGACGTCCAATGCTTTCAGGTTTTTCATGGTGGTCTAGCTTCAATTGACTCATGAATTCAACCATTAAATTACTAAAATCTCCACAAAACCCTCTTCTGAAAATAATCCATTTTATCGTACTATGTTATATCATTTACAGTTAAAAGAAAGGACATATTTAGCGTAAATAGGTTGCTTAGGAACTACATCATGTGAATTTTTAACGAACTAAAATACAGTTCTTAATGTTTAAGTGACTGATATCCAATGTTGTTTTCAATCATTTTATATATTGACAGAAATTATAAGATAAATAAATGTAAATATTATAAAGTGAAAGAAATAATAATCTAATTACATGTTAGATTAAATATTTGGTGAAAGACTACATAGTGACTACATATAAAGTGACATGAACTCTGTAAACAATGACAAATTGGGAGTTAAGTTCTAATTGAATTATTCATATATCTGGAAGATAATTATTAATGATCTAAAGATATGTGAATAATAATAGTATTGATTATGATATCTGAATTAAACTAATTTTAAGTTATGAAAATATAAAAGGGTAAAGGTTGTATGTTCATTAATGAAATCAAGTCATTCTATAATATAGATGACTACTAACTTATTGTGCCTATGGTTGATATAAGATAAGATAATAGGTTGAACATATTTCCTTTATACACATCAATCTGGTTTTTTAGTAAGGATAACTATGATTTTTAGTGTTCGGAAGATTAGGACTTACAAAATTTGGTAAAAAGTTACTAACCAGATAGACTATTGAGAATGATAGATGTATGTTGGCACCATAACTACTTTGAATGAATTGAACTAATATCCAGGTGTTTACTGTTTCAACAATACCTAAGTGAACCTGAAAGGGTTTCACATGAACAGAAATGTAAGTCCTTAGAAACTTGGCCAAATTAAATGTATTCACATGCTACAATTGTCAAAAATCTATTTACCCTAAATTTTCCTATTCTTCTGGATTAGTAATTCGGATAGTATAACTGAACAACCTGAGGAAAATTTATTGAAAGAATATCCTTCGTTCATATATTAATGTTTTAAAATAATGAGAATTTTTAAACAGTTCTAATTAAACTGATTACCTTATATTCCATAACGGTCTTTTCCTTTTTAAAGGAGTGATGCTGTAAGGTTTATTTGGAAAAAAAAACAACAACAGTAGAATATATTAAATTGCAAAGTTATATACTGTCAATAAAGAATTAATCACTGAGCTTAAGAAGTTACTAAACTAAGACCAGTATGATCGTTGTTAACTAAATGGTTACTAATTCTTATACTGTAGCCAATAAATACGATATTTAGGTTCAATATATTTTTTAGTTACATTTGGTCATTGCACATTAAGCGAGTACAAAACCTTAAGGACTAAAATATAATACTGAGTTCCGCCGAAAATATTTGATAATCAATTGTGTCAAATAGTTTGAATGTAACATTTTTTAGTGTTACACTAAAACTGATGAGTTTAAACTGAAAGAACCTCATAGTTCGAGAAAAAATATTTTGATTTTTGAAGATCAGTATCGACAAATATAAGAGAACGATTTGTTACGTCTTTATGAATACGTTAAACTACTTATTGATAAACTTTGACAAACTATACGTTCATTTCAACTGAATCAAGATAGTTATGTAACTGTATAATTTCATGCTGGAAACCACACCATCTTCTAGGAAGTAAATGATGCGAAACATGTCAACTTTAATTTCAAAAGACACTTACTAATATAGGAATTTTATGCTAACTTGATTATTTACTAGAGACTACATACTAAGAAAATATACAGAATCACTACAAAAACCTATGTTGCATAATATACTGAACAAAGTTCAAATTAAATTAATGCACATCCATATTATCTAAAGTAAATGTTACATTGATAAAATACCATTGAAAAAGTAGTACACTAGGCAATCATCATACTCAATTATAATGAATGTTATAGTAAACAAAAACTAGTGTTGTATAAAAGTGTAAATGGGCGTATACTACGGTTTATTGAAGCCTTAACCATACGAAAATTCAAACCCCCTTTGTGTGTTCAAAAACAGTTTGTTCTTACCTTAAACCTACCCTGGTAATATTGACTTATTATCCAGAGTGATTAGGTTTCGCTTTGTGTTCACATTATTATTATTATTACTCTTATCATTATCCTAATCTCCTCTTACCCCGTTTCCTGTCTAGTTGACCTTTTATTTTTATATATAAATGCTCTTAACAAATATATGTATGACCAAATTGTTCGAAATGTATTGCGCTAATATATCACATAGTTCTGATAATCTTCGTCTTCTAATATCATTATCGAAAAACTACAGAATTGAAAACTTCATCTCAATGAATTTTCACGTATAATGAAGATTAATGCTATCAAATATGATATCTATATATGGATAAAATTAAATTTTTCTACCTTTGGTAAATGAATATGTACATTTTTCTTTAACCATTTGACTAGATTGACTTTTTTCTGTTAACAACAACAAAAAAAAGAATTATAAAATGATAATATGATCAGTATCAGAGTTATCAATGGAAATTACAATTTGTCATAAATTTATCCATCAGTAAATCAATTAACTAACCTTGTGACATTAAAAAGGAAGAATATATTTGTAAAATCTCAGCGAATGAACTTTAAGTAAATCCAACGTTTCGCCTGACAATCTGGTCCAAGCTTTTTCAAGGAACATATAATCAAACAAAATTATCGAATATAAATAGGTACAAGGTTCTTCGGTTTACTGTATACTGAATAAATCATCCAATCGACCTGAGATTTTACAAATATATTCTTCTTTTTAATGTCTCAAATGAACTCGGCACCCAAATATTGTGAAACTATTCGTTTAAATTTAGACGAAAGTTCTTATTTAACTAACCTTGTGTTCTTTGTCTTTCTCGCCTGATGAATTCTATAATGATAGAAGGGAATAAATAGCTATATTACAGTAGTAGTAATAGTAATTAGTATTTGAATATATAAATATATAAAGCTAAACCATGTAAATTGATTATACTTTACCGAAGTGAAAATACTTACTGTCTGGATTTGTTGTATGTAGCGTTTTATGTAGTACTACCAAGATTAATTTCAAAGAAATACAACATTGGATAAAGTCGTTTATTTATTTATTCTTAATGTTATATTTGTAATATCTTAATGAGTTTTTCTAATTTCGTTTGCCAATGAAGCTTGTGTTAAAATTGTGTAAACGTCATTTGCGTTATGAAGAAAATGAGATCTACATAGTGATGAAAAGTTATAAATTGAATTTTTTTTCCCGCTTATTTGAATATTTCAAACTTACTATGTTGCCATATGATGATAAGTGAATATTGTGAAAACCTAATGGAAACTATGCTCAAAATAGTTACTTAGAATATATCACTACAGTATTCTTTTTCCTGTTAGATAAATGAAAGTTCTTTTTATATATGTGAACTATCAGCTAAATGATAGAATATTAAATGTTGATTTTATAGCAATATGGTTTGAGGTTTCCTGTTGAGTTATAGCTTCACTTTTCTTAAGAACAAATTAGGCGTATCACAAAAAGATAATCTCTATTATTGAAGATCAACTTTACAAGTGCTATGATTTACTGACACTGTCTAAAATCAAGTTTAAATGGTATTAATCTCTAACGGAATAATTCAAACAAATAATAGCTTGACCACTTATTGTTTATGCATAGAACAACTGGATGCGGCCATGTTGATAACAGCGATAATAATAATAATAATATCTAGTCCTCTATTATAGATTAGTAGAGAAGAGAAATGTATTATTTGATGGTTTGTTATTATTTACTGTCACAAACAGTAACCACTACTTTCGATATCTGATTTGATGACTTACTATAAATGTAAATATTGGATCAAAATGGTGAGATAAACTGATTAATGCTTTACAATAACAATCGTTTCACAATATAGTATGATCATTTCACTAGTTAATTATTATTATCTTTATTAACGTATTATTTTCATGAGTTATGAATTTAGTGTAGACTTCCAACCAGTAGTACGTTACTAGCATGAATTGTTATGAATTATGGACTGTTTAAAAAAAAGATTGTACATATATTAGCCTAAACTTCAAGCCAATGAATTCAACTTCAGTTTATCATTAAGTTATAATTGCTGAATCATGGCTATCAAGACGCATGTTCTTTTAAAACTATGAACTATTATTAGCTAAAAACTATAGATGGATAATAGTAAGGTTTCTAATTGTAGTTTAATGCATAGTTTACAATATTTGATATTTGTAATTATTTCCCTGAATGTAAAATTAATCAAATTACCAACAATAAAAAATCAAGGCTAAAATGATTACCTCAGTTGTTTCAGATTGTTCTAGATTTTTGTCAATGATTTCAAAAGTTGATGGTTTTTCTGAATCATCTTCTTTGTCTGAAATTTCTTTTAACTTTATATTTTTGTCTTTTTCTTCTTCTTCTTTCTCTTCTACTTCATCATCACCTTCATTTTCTCGACTTTTCAATATTTCCATTGATGAATTAACATCTGTTTTACACCGATCATTTTCTTTAATTACAACAGCTTCATTCTATTTATTTTAAAGTATGAAAATTAATATTTACTTGATTCTTTTCTTGTTTATCTAATTCACTATTATTTACTATGATTTCTTTTGATTGTATAGAATCATCTTTGATTGGATAATGTTGATCCTAAAAAATAAAATTTTATATTATCAATTATTTGAATCGAAATTAATTTACATGGTTTCTTTCTACTTCATTAGGACAATTCACTATTTCATTAGTGTTACAATCAGAAATTTGTTCATCTGACATTTCTATTTTATTTATTTATTTATTTATTATATTTTACTGAATGTATCTTCAAAATTGTAGAATCTTGTTTTTTTTTGTTGTTGTCTGAAACTCAATTTATTATTTATTGAGTTAACTAACTGAGGTCAATGTTTATATAATAAACATTGGACAATTTGATATGAATTTAATTGGTTGATTAATAATACTGTCATTATCATCATTATCATTAATTATTTTACATGTAATAGTTTGCATTGTAAAAAAAAAAATAAAAAATAAAGCTTAATCAAAATGAATGTATTTCATTGATAAATCACGTTTACAACTAGATATACATTTGTGTAAGTATGTTTATATGAATCAATTTAATATTTTAACAAATATATTTATAAAACATAAAGTTATCATTTCATTATTACTATCGAAAATAATAATGAATATAATTTATGTATAATGTTAAATAGTTACCAAGTAATACAATGGTAACAATAATGTTTCATTTACCTTAATTATTTGAATACAAATTAGAATATGATTATTGAATTCAATTAAATTTGAAAATAATAATTAAGTATATACCTTTAGGTGATATAAAAAAATTTATTTTATTTTTGCTTAGTAACTGAGTTCATATTCATTCTTTGGCATGACTATAATTTATGGACGAACCAATCAGATTTAAGATAACAGGTCTTGGATTTTTGCGTGAAATTCACTCACTCATTCGTCCAAATAGCGTTTTGGCATTTTAGCTTATGTCAGTTTGTGATGAAAACCATAAATCCAAATCTTAACTTTTACTATCAACTGTAAATCATTGTCTTTATTCTTTAAACTGCTTTATAACCTTCATTCAGCCCTATTAAGTAGGTAGACACCCTCAAGGTCACTTTGGCATCGCTCAAAGGTCGTCCATAAATTATAGTCTCACCCATTTTTCTTTTTGGCTTTTATTCGCATTACTTATATTACGGTTAATGATATTATCAAACTATTCAATTCTAAGTAAATGGATCGAGGTTATTAATTCTCTGAAGAAGTGGCTTACACTGAATCACGAAACGTCAGAAAATCTCATTTTTCTACTCATTGGGATATTACAAATATATTGATTTATTTATAATAATTTAACCTATGCTCAGTTTATTCGAAATTATCAAGTCAAACCTTGGTAATGATACTTACAAATTGGACAGATGTTTATTTGCTACCATAATCATGGTTAGTTATAGTTAACTAATTGAATCATGCAGTATTATCTCATAATTGAGTCACTGAAATGTTCAATTATGAGATAATTAAGTACTGCAGTATTATTATGTTCAGTATTGTCTAATTGTTGTGGTTGGAATTTTATATTCCTTTCATGAACTTTATTTTCTCTTCTTTATTAATCCTGAATCTAAGGCTGTGTATCGTTTACCTCCAAGTACTAAATATCAAACAATATTCGCTTCAATATCAAGTCACCTCATCTAGTCTCTAAAATGCAACTTGAATGATAGGTTTTCCATTAACTCTAACGTGATAGTAGTTAGTTAGTGTATATAAACATTATCTCATAGAAAATATAAATAGGATAACTACTATCAGTAATCATTGACATTTAAATCAATAAGTTAGTCACATAAAAACATTTGATAACCATTTTTTTTAAAATCAGTCATATAGAACTGAGTATCCACTTTTTATGTTCACTGAATTATGATTCTCTCGGATACATATACATACAAATAATCACAAATAAATAGTTGTCAACTTGTAATGTAACATTTATACTGAAATATTGCACATTAAACTGAATTAGAATTCAATGCATTATTGCATAGTATATTAACATTCGATAAAAAAAATGAATTGCAATTCATTTATTTGATCATCAATGAGTTAGTCATTTAAAAAGACTCTTGAGTCATGTTTTAACTTAAAGTTACTATATCTGTAATGATAATAAAAAGTTTTGTATTGTGCCAATTTTGCTGTAACCGCTTTATTATTATTTTTTTTTTTGAAAACAAAACTATTCATTGTTTACAAATAAATAAATGTACAATTTACTCAAACAACTATGTAGAACTTGAGTATTTATGAAAATACACCTAATTCGACCATTTTAATCAAACATGAATAAAATACATAAATACATTTTGATAATGTTATACTTACAAACATAGTTTGTAATAGTTAATAATAATGAACTTATCATGAACAATAATTTACTATTCTATTTATTTGGCACGTAATCATAAACACTGTTTCATTAATATGAAACTTATCTATCGATTATGACATGTGTCTAATATGATTAGTGTATGATTTCATTTTGCCTTTCTCTCTCTCTTATTTCATTTATATAGATATGTATTGTCAGAAATATGTAGTTAGAAAATATTTTATAAAATGACTAACTGACATTCTGATGAGGTGAAAATGTAACCAACTTATTTAGAGATATGTTGGTTAGTGATTGTATACCATTGAGTTTTCCACTAGTGTGAGGCATCTGTCTGGTGTTCAATTTATAATAAATGCTATCTTGGAGAGTTTAAAACACTTTTCTGAAGTGGTGGAATCGAACATCTCAGTTTGAAGATTGACGGTATATATACTATGAGGAGAAAGAGATGAATAATACTATATTTAATAACAATCATGAGTCTGTTTGACAATTTTAAAATTATGTTCAAAGATGATATATGGTTTATTTTATCTACTGGCTGAACTAAATTATTTGAAATCAAATCAACTGATATCAACAACTTGAAAGTATCTGAAGACTAGTTTACTGTAATACTAAAATTTTAAGTGGTATACAACCATCAACTCATTACTGGAGAAACTAAATCCCACATCCACATGTCTTATACCAAGCATATTACTGGTAATTAACTGAATGAAGAAACAAATGTTGAATATTTTCACATTCAGCTCATCTGTTTATAATTATTCCGATGGAATTTTTATTTGTTACAAAAAGTTCTAGCTTTGTCATGTGTGTCTGTTTAATAGCTTTGATTTTAACGACCCGTCATGATTCATTTAACGTTCAGTGATCATTCTTCCAAGGAAGGGATACACTTGGCTTGATAGATAATTTGACTGAGGTTATTTTTATATTGCCGATCATACGGATATAATAGCTGTTGCCTTGAATGATAATCCAGTCAGTCAGTCATCTACAATGTAGGATCAGGCGCATACATACATCGATCCAAGTTTCCATACCTCATGAGCACAACAAGATAAACACCAAATTCATAGAAGCAGTTACTTCAAAAAACATTTCATTTAAGGATATGATACAGGAAGAAAGAAATGGTTCGTAGAAAAAATACATAAAGCAATTTTATTCTTATAGTATAAGGGAAGACAGAGTGTATACACCCACGCCATTGTGATCGATTCTGAGCCATATCACACAGAGTCTTCAATCATTGGTAGCAATAGTCGCACGGATCCCAACCAAGTAGTCTAAATCTATCAACATGGCCTAGACCAGAAGTCAGTGACTTCAAACACTGATGCCACGTTTTGGTTTGGTCACTCCTAACTTCCTTCCATTCGTCTCCAACACAAGCATTGCTCGACGTGGTAATCGGTGTTTAGGCATACGTAACACGTGACCCAACCATCTCATTCGATGAAGATTCACAACCTCATCAACTGATCTACCATCATTCCCTAATACCCTGTGTCTAACATCACTATTACTTACCCGGTGATCCCAGTAGATGCGAGCAATATTTCTAAGACATCAGTCATCAAATTCTAGTAACTTACGAGTATCCTCTACTCTTAATGGTCACGTTTAGCAGACGTAAAGTAGAACAGAATGAACTGCTGAAAAGTATACTCGTCCCTTAATTGATAGATAGATATCTCCCCTTCACCATAGGTGACGTAAGTTGGCAAAAGTCAAACGAGGTTTGTGAATCCGTGTGGAGATTTCGTCAGACACCAACCCATTTGGGCTGATCAGACTTCCTAGATGAGTAAAGTTGTCGACGCGTTCGACTACTTCACTCCCTATCCTTAGTTCAGGTGTTGATGCAGACTAGTCCTGAAACAACAACTTGCATTTAAGTGGCGAGAAACGCCTCCCAAATTTAGTCGACGACAAAGTTATTGCCAGCAGTGAGTTTATGATGAAACTGAACAAAAATACAGATAATGGTCAGTTTTGCCGGACACCATTTGAGGTGGCAAAATCAGATGACAGTTCGCCATAAGCTCTGACTCGACTGGTAATGTTCGAGTAAAGAGCCTTCACAAGGTTTATGTACTTCTGAGGTATGCTTTCCAGTAACAAACATTGCCACGGGACCTTCCAGTTAACAGAGTTAAATGCTGCTTTTAAGTCAAGAATGACCACCATTGTCGGACGCCGATAAGCACGCCTGTGTTCTAGGACCTGATGAATGGTGAATATGTGGTCGATGCAGCCACGATCAGGTCTGAAGCCAGCTTGATTCTCTCTAGTTTCCAGTTCACGAGTCTTTGTTAGGTGTCCGATAATTATTGAGGCTGGCATTTTAGATGCTGTATTAGTCAAACTAATCCCTCTGTTGTTGTGACAGGATGATTCTGACCCTCTCTCGTATATTGGGACGATCAGTGATTGCGACCAGTCAGATGGGATAACGTCCAACTCCCAAATCTTAGCTAAAATATTAGCCAACCTAATCGCTAACATTGAACCACCATCCTTAAAGACTTCTGGAGCCAATCCATGTGGACCAGCTGCTCTTCCTCGTTTCGGATAAGCTATAGATTTTCGAATTGTAATTAGAGCCGGGGAGGCCTACTTCAATGTTCCATTCAGGCTGTTTGGGAATGGTGGGTAGTTGTGGAGCAACTGGAGGCCAGCTGGACTGCTCCCTAAAGTGTTCTGCCCATCTTTCTAAACGTCTGGACTGAGAGCAGATAAGTGTCGTCTTTTCCAGAGATAGTTTCATTTACACCTGACTTCTTTATTATAGTTTCCTTTATTAGTCTGAAAAGCTGTCCGGTGTTACCTA